GTTAGGATACTACCTTAAAGCACAGGGTCACTCTTTGTAACAATAATACAGCTTCTCACGAGTAATTAAAATTTGATGATGTTATATGTTATCAAGCCGACTCAATACGTGGCCAGCAATTAATCCCTTTAATGTGAATTATGTTGCAAATGCATTCACCATAGTAATACAAAGACGACTGGCGAAGTAGAGCGTCTTAAATGTCTGTCACCCTAAGCGATACATCAGCTGATAACTATTTCTGGTGCACATCCACGCGACTTCGTTAGGTAGTAAATAACACAACTCGATCTTGAATCACTGTGTCAAAAATGTGATTTGAAAAAGACGAACGAACGAATTTTAGACGCTATCATGCACTCTTTTAGTGAGAATGAAAAATGTAGGTGACACGATGAAGAGCGTGTTCCATGTATATCTGGTATATATTTTTTCGCTAAAAAGTGTTTTTAGATTTTCAGATCGAATCGAATACGTTGCCTGGTATTTTGTCTTCCATACACACTCAATCTCAATATAATATGCACACCGGTAATAATAAATACCAGATGTAAGAGAAAATAAGTCGCATTTAATCTCCCACAACATTACCAAGTGGACACGCAAATAAAATAAAATTGAAATAGCATATTAAAAAACTTACCGATTACAACTAGTAACAGAATTGTTCCAACCAGGGCAAACACCAGTACAAACACATTTGTGCGTATGGTCATATTTTTTTCGCCGCACAATAGATATTGTGATTTCTAACGCAGTGACACCTGGTTTAAGCACGTGATGTCAAACTGTTTTTACAATTTAATTAATGTGCATTTTTAAATTTACAATTTTGTCAGGTGACTGAATTTGTAATTAAGCACAATAGTAATTTTGGAAATACATGTATATTTCATTTAAGAAGAAACATCGTTGAAACTATGTCTGATATATTCATAAATTTGACAATGTTGGTAAATGCAATGTACCCTGACAGCGTTGTAAACCGGAATTCACTGTGGTTTCAATGAACTGGAAATAAATACCGTAATTTCGATGCAGTTGAAAATATCAGCATTCTGTCTACATCATAAATTTGAAGTATTATTAAATTAAAATAAAACATCTAACAACTAATCCAGTCCAGGAGGTACTAATAGTCACTGTGTATGGCGAGTCATGAACATTTAAAATATACAAAGTCGACTGTGTTGTGGTTGCATGGGTGATTCGCCCTGTGATAGCATGTCGACTGTTAGTTCATCCGGCGGGTGACGAGATCTCGTTGGGAGAGATAGCGCCAACAGCTTTGTTTTTGCACCTGAAACAGTGTTTCATTTTTTTACATTTGGTCTGGGAAACAGTGTGAAAAAATCATAATGACAGTACTGTTGTTCTTTTTTGACAAACATCAGTCAGTTAAACTTCGAAATCCAAAAATTATACGACGAACTCATGAATCCCATCGCAGCAAATTCAGACAAATTCTGTTAAAGTGAAAATGGGTGGAAATAAAAAGCGGGGTTTCAATACCAAGTTTGAATGAAACCGGCATGTGCAGGTTCAAATGTTCTTGTTTTTTGCTGTGTGATTTTTAGGGGAGGGTGAACAAAAAAGTCCGCAAATGGACATGCACCAACTTTGATCAAAATAAGTTTTCAAGCTAATTGATAAATGACGTCGGGTGTACTCAAATACGGACTGCTAACTTATACTTTTGCAACTAAATTACCTCGTAGGCGGTTTTACAATATAAAATTCTCTTCGTCATTGCATATTGACTTGCATAGAGTGGATTAATGTTCGTCATTCTATGTCATGCGTTTCCCCCTATGGAATATGACAGGATTTACATTTTTAATGTTTGTTGATTACTGTCTTTATTCAGTGCAAATGATTTGTATGTAAACTATTCCTGCGATTTTTTGAAAACATTTTAAAAACGTGCATAAGCCACGTGCGTAATAATCATGCCATATCCTTCTATTCATACTCTGATTAGATTTGTTCACCCAGTCACTACAATCTAAGCATTGAAAATTCCAAATACGTATAAATATGCAAGAAAATGAGGTAAAATTGCGTGTGTGTGTTTTCATCGAAGCCTTGTTAACGCAGCTTTCCGTTCGATTAAGTGACAATATTAAAAACGACACGCCACCCAGTGGGAGGATTGACGGGTTTGTGATCACCATTAAGTAACGTCAGCGGTTTGACACCGTTATTTTAAAGATATATTATATATTGCGCGAGTGTTTGCTGTATACACGACAAGGAAGGCCAAGGAAGGTCGCGTAAGTTCACGAAAGAAGCACGGATTCCGATGATTACTTTAGTATTACGACGTGTTTTTACGAGCAGCATATGGAATAGGATATGCGTCTTCCAAGGCTCCCGTCAGGTTTAGCATCACTTCTATTCACGGCAAATGAAGGCGATAACTTTTCGAATAAAATCTCCGTTCAGTGGATCACCCAGCTGTTGACACGAGTGGTAGATGTAGTTAACAACGTCCGGATCCGTCTGGGCCCTCACATCTTACATAAATTTGCAGCAGCCTGATTGCTCACATCGATTGTGTTAGTACGCATTTTAATACTGTTTAGTTACAGTTAATCCTTACTTTAAACACATACTGTTACTATTGTAAAATTATGTAATAACACAGCGTTTGAAATGCGAGAAAGTTTTCTCTTGGGGCACGTACCTTCAAAATGAAATGATACCTAAGTGACCTCGTGGATAAATACACTGGGAGTTATGGTGCGTGAAATGTCATTAAGGTCACGCTAAACTGAAATAGCAAACTTTGATAAACAGTTCTGTCTTCGAGCGTTCAGATAATCAATCAGTTGCAGTTTTTCACTGTGAGCCAACAGATTACTTCGACTTTTACTCCAAGGTGATGTTCGTTCTCAGTATGGTGTGGCCACTTCTGGCGTTGGTCGCTTTCAGTGTTGAAGAAAACGGTAAGGAAGTTATGTCTCCGCATCGTATACGTAACATAATTTGTTAAAGTTAAAGTTGGTGATCTCTTGGGTGCAAGTGGTAAACACGTCTGAAAGTATCCCACGTAAATGAATATTACGTTATGACGTAACAAACTTGAAGAACGTTCTAACTTTATTCAGTATTCGATTGTTTGTGGCATGACGACCATTTCTTAATAATGTGATACATTGTGGTGCAAATACTCTGTATTTTGTAAATATTATTTACTCTAGGCTTAAACAAAT